CAAGGTGACACTTCAGCATAGACTTACACCATCTGTGTCTCAGACTGCATACTCCGAACTCATCCTGGGAATTGTCGGCGGCGCGTCAGCGAGCCCAAATACGTTGTAATTATTTAATGTAGAGCTTTGAAACATTTTGAGTCTTGCTGCTTAAAACACATAATGCTTACTAATCTTACGGATTCATTTTCCTAGTGGTTTACTTTTAAATCATCAAAAAAAAATTATTACAACTCTTTTTCTGACTCTTAACATAATGTCTTTCTATCAAATTTGTTGAAAAGAAATTGAAAATCATTCTAAAAGAAAAGAGTACTTTATAAGCAAAGTCCATGAAATAACTTAAAATTCCTGTTGGCTATTTTCATAGTTTTCATTGCAATTTTCCTTCATAGTCTAATGAAGCTCTTGATGGTTTTTGACAGGCTTAAATATTTGAGACAACTAGTGACCTACTGGCAAATAAAAGAGTGACAAAAGTGTCCCCACAAAATCTGATCACATTGCATACTCTATCAAATCACAATACAGCATGATTTAAAATTAGATACACATCTTATGGACAGTTTGAAGATATTGTCAGATCAAAAGTTTACGTTAAACACATCATAAATTCTACTGCTTAAAATGAGGGTATTACCCTGAAATATAGCAATGACTAGATTAAACAGTTGATACAGAAGACATATTTAAGGCATTATACAACATTTATAAATTCATAATCTAAAACACAAATGAAGATCAATATTTACAAATAATGAACTATATTTTTTGCATTCTACCTCACACAGGATTAGGCTTCTAATTCTGTTAGGGTAAAAACAATTTTCAAAAATGATGTGACAGATTAGGCCAACTTCTTAGCTACACATAATAATAGCCTTTGCTATTTTTATGTACTCACTGTCATCTTTAGCAGTTGTCATCTAAAATTTCACCCCTCTACTCATCCCCCACCAAAAAAGAAAAAAAAGATATTTCAATCAACAAAGATCTAGAGGCAAAAAGGCTACAAGGTACATCTGAAAGGTTAACATTTTTGATCTGTCTCATCCACAGCTGAAGCACAATGAAGCACCAACAAGGACATTGGGATGTGAACCTCTGTTGCCAGGGTATGATCTAAGAGCGGTACTTCCAGACTAAAGCCATCAAGTCATGACACAGCCAAGCCTTACTTCCCTTCTCATAAAACAAATCTACAAATTAAAACTGTAGAAGCAAGCAAACCCCTCCCCTTCCCCCTTCCTATAACGCAAACACTAAAAACTTCCCAAAAGGGAAGAAAATGAAAACCTACTACAGTGATGTACACCTGTAACCTTTCCACATTGACCGGTTTGAAATAGCATCCGTGGCTCACAGTCAGAAGTAAAAAGCTCAACAATTTGAGAGAAAAAAATCTGAGACACATTTCACATGAGATTATGAACATGTAATAATGATACATGACCCCCCACCCACCCAGAAAAAAAGCGTCAAGCAACACAGAATGAAAATGTATTGCATAAGAGCTGAGCACAAGTATACTTGCTCATGTTACATATATATTTTTGTTATAAGAAGCGGCAAATATGAGAATGTCAATGACCAATCATCCTGTCGGATGAAAACAAAAATAGCTTGCCTCCGCTGAGACAAGAACCTTCTAGAATCTAGGTATTGCAAATTAAGGACCAACAAACATTACATTAATATCTTTTTGAGCATATACAAAATTACTGTGAGATATGCGTAAAACCTTGTACAGTATAAGTAGCGAGGAAAACAAAGAACAGTAAAGTAGTGAGATAGCACTCAAGTAGTCTCAGAGTCCAAATCCAAACTGAAATAGTTGGAAATTCAGCAGAAGAGATGAAAACTAATCTAGTAGTGATCTACACAGATGCTTAATCAGTTATATAATCTCTAATTAAAAAAAAAAGGCAGAAAGACTTCAGTGACCTGAAAGAAGTAAGAATAAACATAAAGGACTCATTACAATCTTAACCCTCCTAGTGTCGATGACTGATTAAATCGGCTGTTAGTTTCGTTCTGTGGCATTGCAGCCGATTTAATCAGCTGTGATTTGAGCCACTATTTCAGTTTGACTATCCAGTTTCTTATATAGCCTAACATTTCAATTCATTCACAAATGAGCTCTACTTCTTATTTAAATTCTTTCTTTCTGGAAATGTATACTTTTATGGCCTTTACTTGCTTGGTTTTCATGTTCTCAAGCATTTTCCAACATGCGAAGGAAAAATCATATTATTGTTTCCCCTGACATCGCAGGCTATTTGTTAGTCACACTTGGGAGGGTAAAAAGACAAGCTGAGGTTGAGCAAAGCTGACTGAACGTTACCATCAATATCAAATTCAAGACGGAAGAGTCTGGAATGAGCCTGAGCAATAAAGAGTAAAGATGATGAGTGCTCAACTCTTGGTTACAGGAATATGGCCTTCCTGATGTCTCAAGGACAGCAGTATGGCAGGCTAGATTGCCACTGATGGAAATATAATACAGGAATTTGGTAGACTTTCAAGAGGCCATAGAGTTTTTCTGGCGGATTGCCTTGCCTATCTAGAGACCAAAGAAAGAGAGGATAGGAGCTTGCCTAAATGAATTTTTCCAGCAATGGAAGAAAAGCAAAGCAAAAAAGGCACATTTGTGCAACGAAAGCTCTAAATAAACCATAAAATTGAAAAGCATACCATATCTATCACAAGAAAAATGAGCCGCTTAACTCCAAAGTAATAGCTCATTGTGTAGCACAGAGTCAAAAGGTGTTCCTCATTTTTCTTGCGTGAGCGAAGACGCAATTCTTTCAGATTATTTTTCTTGTCTGACACAAAAAAATACCTGCGCTTCATAACACAGAAGAAGTACTCTCACATAAATAAGCAATTCTCAGCAACTTAAAAAAACCCAAGATATATATAAATTGCTTCACATCAAGAGATTGCTTTACAATTAAAAGGCACCACTGGTGAATACCAGCATAAGAGCTCAAGGAATGTACATTGCAAGTTTATTATATTATATATATGATAATATAATATATATAAGTTTATATAAATTCATATCGTTTATAGCATGATAAAAATGCATAACATTCTTACACATCAAAAGAATAAACATAGATAAAAAGGAGGTTTGTTGCTCAGTTCTCCCAGAACATTGACTATGTTTCCATTTCTTTATGATATGACATGGTAAGTTAGAGACAAAATTGCATTTATGTGTGGGAATGATTAAAAATAAATACATTCAATTCTTTTCCAAAGTAAAAAAAAAAATTTCAACAAGGAATGCTACGATGTAAAACTTAGATTAAAAACCGCTCAAAAGTCCAGCAGAGATCAGATGAGGGTCTGAAACAGTGAAGTAGAAGGGTAAGTAGAAAGTGTCAGTCTTGTTTTCTATTGGAATTGTCACAAAAGAGAAAAGTAGTTCCTTTCTTTTCTTTTAAGAAAACAAGCCCATATCAGTTTGTGTTCTGAGACATTTCTCTGTTAATTGAATGAAAAGTCAGTGTCTTTAAAAAAAAAAAAGCATGTTTCGGAAAAGCTTTTAACTTTTTAAATACACAAAGACTATACCTGAATAAAACAAAAGTTAAAACTTATTGCGTAGTTATTGTGCTTTCTATTGCATTTATCCCAAGAAAAGCTGAAAAGTATGAAATGGAAGAGTCCAATATTGAGATAAATACCTTAAAAAGTTGCGAACGATACACATTCTTCAAGGCACTTAATAAATCAACATATGAATAGTCAGAATCAGTTGCGTAGAGTAAAAGAATGAAATATCAGCTCAAAAATAAAATTTTCTCATAACCTGCACACTTCATAAGGCACATGCAGTAATATCAACTGAAATTACTGAGCACATTACACTTAAGACTGCTGCTTTCCACCTTTTTACATACATAATGTAAAGGCACAGCTATTCCTATTCATACCACGTACAGTAAAATTGCGACTCACAATCAGTCTTCACGTTTAGGTAAAATGAACACATTTTGTTCACCTAATTAGGCTTTTGCTTACAATCAGGGCTAGTAAAATGAGTAACAGCAGAGTTGTAAATGTGTAGTACATCCTGTTTAAAGAAGTGTGGATCTTGTATGGAGGACATGCAAAACAGTGTAAATACTCTAATCTGTACAATAAAAGCACACGGAAGTGGAATGACTTGGAAGATCTTTAAAATGGTTTGTGGAAGAAATTTTCATGAATGCACAACCAAGAGTAACACATGTGTAAATAGACGCCTATCAGCTGCTCAGTGAAAGACTCTGTTGTCTGTCCCTTTTCGAAATGGCATATGGCGGAGTCTTACACTAGGCAGTTGATATATACATATATATATATATCTATATATATATAGCTATATATATATATATACATACATACATACATACATACATACATACATACATATATATATATATATATATATATATATATATATATATATATATATATATATATATATATATATATATATATATATATATATATATATATATACAGAGAGAGAGAAAGAGAGAGAGAGAGAGAGAGAGAGAGAGAGAGAGAGAGAGAGAGAGAGAGAGAGAGAAGAGAGAGAGAGAGAGAGAGAGAGAGAGAGAGAAGAGAGAGAGAGAGAGAGAGAGAGAGAGAGAGAGAGAGAGAGAGAGAGAGAGAGAGAGAGAGAGAGAGAGAGAGAGAGAAAGAGAGAGAGAGAAAGAGAGAAGGAGAGAACCTCACAATTATAAGAAAACGATTGTAGTAGTATACTTTAATTATAGCCTGACACTGAATTTGAAGTCGACAAAATTTGCGCAGGTAGAAAACAGAGAGAGTGTAAAACTCTCCTAGAGAACTCAAGCCTCAACTTCCATTTAAAAAAAAAAGGAGAATGTTTCAGATCTTTGAAGTCAACAGCTTCATATTTTCAGGACGAATCTGAAAATATGGGAAGAAACAAGTCAGCATAAAGTTGTAAATGAGATAATGGCAGTACTTGCAATAAAGAATGTGGGTATATTATGTACAATAAAGAATAGGCGATTTCCCACACAAATTCAATATCAGGCCACAACAAAAAATCAAACAGGCCTTCAGATGTTTACGAATCGTCTCATGCCATGAACAGCTCTATGAATCTGTTCCCCAGATGTCGTCTGTTCTTTTCAACAATAGCACGCTCTGCCTCTAGTCTTGAGGTAAAAGATATGAGAGCATCTCCATTAGGTTTTCCTTCCAAATTCGTTTGGATGCTGATAGTCTCAGGTCCTACCTGTGAAAAGCAAACAAAAAATTATGTAGAAAGCAGAAACCAAACATAACGAGAACAAATTTTGGACGCTCATTCTGATCAGATCATCTCTATTTTATAATACAGGACCGTAAACTTATATCCTTTGGGAAAGGACAAAAAAAAAGCAAACAAAAAAGCAAACAAAAGAACACAAAATAAATTCAGTATTGGCAGAAGGAACACAAAATTAACTTTTCCTATCGCAGTGGAGTACAACATCTGTTGCGGAGGAGCATCCCCATTTAGAAAATGAAATCTTTGTGGCATATCAACCACATTCTTTCTCTGAACAATCTATTTTCTAGATTATATTTTTGATAAAATCTATAACATGCCTTTATATTCTATAGCACATAAAGTCTCTTATTCAGAAAAAAAGACCTAATTGCCAATAAATTAAGTTCCCCTCCCTCTTTTCCTTCATGAATCGACCATGAGAGTGCAAGCTTGGGCAAAGCACACACATAAAATGATAAGCCAAGGAGAATATCTTCCTTTCTCATTTTATATAAAAGTTCCCAAGCAAGGTTGATGATTTTTATACACATATTTTGCCTCCAATTAGTCTAAACTGCCTGGTTCATCCTCGTAAAGGCTAAAATTTTACAAGTGATAGTTTATGACTACTTTACAAACTAAGTCAAGCAAACATATCATTTCGATATATCATTGTAAGTTCAGAGAAGTTCCTCCGAGAGTTATAAGGCCCCCTGAGCCATAAAATAGATTCTCCCCTTTTCTAGGGCAATAAGGAGACTAGACATGTGAGGATTGATAAGGAATAATTTTCTCAGTTTTGTACACTTTTAAAATCTTAAACCAGGTTGCAAGGTTACTGAAAAATACATAAGTAAAATTATTCAGTGTCTCTTCATTTTCACCAGTTATGACATATCATTTTCATCATGTCTTAAATTTTGGGCTGAAATTGTTTCTATTATTTGGACACTTGTAAAGACATGGTTACTGTTGTTAAAGTGCTAAAAATTATTGGAATCCTCTAACAGATTAGAGAAAATATTTGATCACTGTCTGACACTGTTCAAACATGATATTGAAGCAGGTAGCAAGAACATGATTTCAAAGTTCTTTTTCATGGATACTTTTGAAATACTGAAAAAAAAAAATGTTTTTACGTTGATTGCACGAAAACATTTTATCTTACCAGGCAGATGGGTTGGAAGCATTTTATTTTAAAATTATTAGAGAACTGTAAGCATCAGGAAGTGATTAAAATATAATAGCCAATACTTACGCTACTACTGTCTTAACCTAGCACATCTGCTTACGTAATATACCTTAATAAAAAAGAAACACAGTGAAACAAAGAAAAAATGAAGTAAGAAAAGGGTGCATCAAATAAAAGTGATTTGTGTGCAGAAGAAGTGAAATCAAAAAGGAAATAAAGAGAAAAAAAGTGGAGCACCATAACGGGGCAACCATGAACAAAATGAGAGCCCACGAAAACCAAAACAGAACATTTTCAACTCATTGGAACTCAATGGCACAAAAATGAAAATAAAAATGAAGTCAAAATGAAATTGTCAGAAGAAAATGCAAATGAAACTCCCAAGTAAAAATGGTGATTGGATATGCCCTGATTCTATCTCTACTGGTCTAAATAATTAGTATTTAAAAGATCAGATTTAATCAGGTGATAAATGTTAATTGCTAAGGTACTATTTCTTTTGAGTATTTAGACCAAAAAAGATTCCAAATGCATATAATGTCCTCTTAGGACTTAATGAAAGAGATTAGTATTTTTCATTGCCAGACTGTGCTATCTTATTGTAGTTCTCCAATACAATCCCAGTAAGTTAGCAGACTAGAGGAACCATGTCCCCAAACCATCTACTGCACAGAAAAATCTGTGAGTACTTTACACTTTACTACTACAATTGTTATACCCTTATCTCTTTTAGTGCAACCTACACCTACCTCAGGAAAACCCTGAAAATAATTCATAATATCTTGAATGGAAACGTTTATGGGCAGGCCTCTCATAATGATCATGCATGGCCCCGTGTACGGTCCAGCGGCATTGTTTGAAGTGGTGTTGGTGGTGTAGTAAGAAATAGCAGGTGTTTGAGGTGTAGGTGGCGACACAGGAGGACTGGGGTACCAGTAGAGGATGGGTGGGTAGTAGGTCGGCCTCTGAGGGATAGGCGTGACTGTTGGGGGGAACGCGGCTGGCATTGGCTGAGTCAGCGGGGCGTATTGGAAAGCTCCATTGGTGGTCAGAGATGTCGATGTCATGATAGTTTGGGGAGTGACTGAGGATTTAAAGTAATATGATATTTAGATGAGAAGTAGTAATACTTGAAGCTACTTATGTACTGGATTTCTCTCTAAACTGACTTAGAGATATATAGATATACTGAAACAGTTACTGATACTACATCAAAAAGGACATTTATCAAACTTAATTTTTAAAAGCAAATGAAACGAATATATTTAAAAAAAAAAATTTGTAGGAAAAGTTTATTTAAAGAAAGGTCACCACTGATTTAAATAACATACCAAAGCAAATCCTTGCTCACTTGACTTACCAGGTGAAAGAATTGGTCTTTGAATAGTGAGGGGCGAGGCTGGTGGGATGGCTGGGGCTGGAAGAGCTGCAGGTGGCACTGGAATAGACATTGGTGGCACGCCATTGGTCAGAACGTAGCTCATATCGTCGCCGCTACACTGGATCACATCAATGATTCTCTTCTTGTTGGCGAACGTCATCGGGCGTCGGTGTCGGTTGAATGCTGTCAGAGTTGCTGCTTCCTCCGAGTCAAGTTGTATGAAGGCTTCACCAGAGGCCTCACCCTGAGAGAGAATGAGGTGAATCAAAATAACAATGAAGTCAGTCACAATCAGGGGCGAAGGCTGACTTGTTTGACAGGGTAATCAAAGTGAAACGGGACCAGATATAGATCTATATGGCCTGTAGATATCACATAAGAATCTTACTCGAGGCGGTGACTCTGACTGAGTTGTAAATGAAAACAAATCCGGAATTCATATTGTATGTCCAACCGCCAAAATAATCGGGAAAGTATCTGATTAAATATCAGTTCCAACTAAAATTAAATTAACTTTAGATGTGAATACATAAACACAAAGCAAAGAAGCAGAGATGTCAGTACTAGATCTATATGTTATAGTTCTACCAGAGAGTCTAACTCTTTGGTAGAACATGACAATTATCATTTTTTAAATTTCACATTTGGCTGCTTTTGTTAGCCTTTCGCGGCCAGGAGCTGGTGTCATAATCGAGGTCACGATCTGATTATAGGACAGTAAAAAGTCGAGGAAAAAAAACAAGCACATGCAGCAGTAAAGAGATTGTTAGGAGTTAGTTCCCCTCACATTTGTGAGGTAGACTCGACCAGTGTTCGTTAGCTTACTTAATCAGGGCTTGTGATTGATTTTAACTGTGACCCCAAAGGGGTGAACAGGGTATATGTGGCAATGAAACAGCCATGACTGCTATGCACATGTTCCCTCAACTGTATTGGTAGACTCTTTCAGCCTCACTTTAAGCTTACTTAATCAAAGCTTGCGACTGATTATGGAGTGGCCCGAGAGGGGTGAGGAGGCTATTTATGTGGCCGTGAAACCGTTTTGAATGTTAGGCATGCTCATTGTGGATTACGAACCTCTTTTTACTTTTAATTTAAGAGTTTTATGTTTAAGGATGAATTTGACAGCGACAATGTTTCAAAATTAGGAAGGGAAGCAGTGATTATTTGATTATATAGACACTTCGCCCCTGGTCACAATAGCTTGTTTTGGTGTAGTATGGAATTGAGCCATTTATATATTTCTAGAGACATCTATGTTTAGCTGCTGTTTAAGCTTAAAATTAAAAAAAATATTTTGATTCACTGCTTGCTTGAGTGCAGATCATTGTCTCTGTTATGATAATGAGCCTTGTGTGCGTGTGTGTGTGTTTGTGTGTGCGTGTTTGTGTGTGTGTGTATGTATGTGTGTGTTTGTGTATGTGTGTGTGGTGAAACACCAAACCAATGTGCCAGTCTCAGGACAATAAAGATTAATCTTACTTTATCTCTCAATGAACGAAAACTTCTGTTTATATTACCTACAAACAGCAGGAATGTACACTGCAAACAACACAAGAAAGAAAGTCTTGGATAGTTAGTCCCTTTTACAGAATCCTTAACAAGGACAATAAAGAAATTTGTAACAGAAAAGAAAAGCTTTTTTCAGCTGTCCATAGATATCGATGACAGCTAAAGCAGTAAGAATTATACAGCTTTGCTTGGGCGTTGGACATAAGGGAAGTAGATTACCCACGTACTACTTCCCTCCCTTCAGAAAAGAAAGGCAGTAGGCTAAAGAAAACTTACCGTGGCGGTGTAGACCATGTGGACGCCTTGGTAAATGATGAACTGTGAAAATTCACCGAGAAAAGTTAAAATGTCTGTGACTTGAGCAGCACTGGGAAGGTTTCGCAGACGAATGCAGTCGCGACGCGTTCCGCTGGTGATGAGTGACTGAGGAATGATGGGAACACCGGCCGGTAGCTGGGCAATCAGTGGGGTTAACTGACCGTCTGGCTGCTCAGGATTGCGGGGATCCATACTTCTATTCAGCACCTGGAGGATAATAATAAAATAATAATAATAATTTTTAAAAGATAAAATAATAACAATTTTAATAAAAGGTAATTGTAACAATAATGACAATAATAATGATAATAACAATATAATGATAACAATAATAATAACAATAATAATAATAAAAATAATAATAATAATAATAATAATAATAATAATAATAATAATAATAATAATAATAATAATAATTGTTTTTTAAGCAGCTCTGTCAAGGTCTGACCATGACCAGGATGAGGAACAAAGGAAAAAATAATTTTGAACTGAGCTTTAAGCCTACTGAAAGGGCCTATGGGGAATAGATTTTTTAGTCCTGATTTTTTAAAAATCCAGGTATATTTTTTTGTATTTAATACATGGACGTAGCGAAATTCATACATAACAAAAAGATTTCCACATCATCCAAATTTTGCTATGTGCGCGCTAGACTGTATATCGTATCAGATTGCCAGTGTATATACAAATGAAAACTCTCATCAAAATCGTATTCAAAGCACCAAAAACACCAAAAAACGGCCATGAGCTGTACTGCCAAGAACAAGTGGTTATCTTCAGACTAAGAAAATACACACAAGAATCAGACAACATATGTACAGATGTCTTAAATTAGCGTCATCACCGAAATGCTCGAGCACGGAAGCAGACCAAACTGTAAAACACATACTCCTGCAGTGCACAGGGCCATGAGAGAGGAAACGTGGCAAACCCTATTGACACTACAGGAGAAGTTGTACGGACCAACAGAAAAACTGAGCAGGATGACCTAGTAGGCTATATGAAAGGAGGAGATGACCTAGTAGGCTATATGAAAGGAGGAGGAGGAGGAGGAGGAGGAGGAGGAGGAAGAGGAGGAGGAGAAGAAGAAGAAGAAGCCTGTGATGAATGATCGCCTTGCTGTGACACCTAACACATGTGCCTCACACAACCCACCTGTTGCACCTCAGCAGTTGTACTCTTGAAGAGCTCAATGTATCTCGATCCCATCATTTCTCTGTGTTTCTTCAGAGCTTTCGCAGCCTCTTCCTCTGTAGCGAACAGCACGAAGGCATCACCTGTACTTCGCCCATCAGGGTAATGGACAAACAATATTCCATCCTCCCCATCTAGAACTTGGGACGAGTTGGGGTCTCGGGTAAAAAATTCAAGCTGAAATAATTTGAGAACAAAGAAAATCATTTGCCTGCATTCTGATTACAATAAATAGTATTTCAAAAATGTATTATGATTCAATCTGTAATGGATAGTCAGTCAGTAGACATATCGTTGTTCATAGACAGATGTTAAAAAAGCATGGACGTACAAAGCAAAAATACTGCATGAGGCAGTACATGTACATGACCAAACAAAGGCAAAGGAACTGTGTAAAAATCACAAAAAGTTTAGTAAAAAAAAAAAAGAAAACCAACTCAATACATAAGCAAAACAGGCACAAAAACAATTTTTGTAAAATCCATACAAAAAGGCATTTGAAAAGGGAATGCAAATAGAAAACTTATGAGAAAAAAGGACGGGAGAGTGTGCAAAAGTTACTTCAAAGGAGGAAAAAGGACAAGAGAAAAAGCACAATGGACCTGTGCTGCAAAAGAATAAAGCACATAAAAGATGGGGATGAAGTGAGAGAGGCAATGAGAAAGAGGGAGAGAGAGAGAGAGAAAGAGAGAGATAGAGAGACAGACAGTCAGACAGGCATTTAAAATGAACAGAAAGAGAGGACAGACAGACTGGCAGACAGACAGACAGACAGACAGACAGACAGACAGACAGACAGACAGACAGACAGACAGACAGACAGACAGACTGGCACAAAGAGGAAAGGGGGGGGGGGTGGAGAAAAGAAGAAGTTTCACATGTTAACAGAAAATAAACTATAACTCTTGTAGCAGTTTTATGATTTAAAAAAATGACTGTTTTAAAGGACAAGTGATGATTATAACACAATCTCTTTAGGAAAAAAACAAACTATGATCATGAGAGCGAACAGGGGAAAATAAAAGTATCAGCTTTCACAACAATTCCCTTACATCCGTCTGTATTTAGATGAAAAATCTTGCAAAATCCTCATCATGTTTCACTACAATAGCTTAAAACTCACTGTTATTCAGACAAAAGGCATCTAAAACTGAGTATATAAGTTCTGTACATTGTCATTATAAAGCACGCATAGACCTAAACAGGGCAAAACCTTTATGGGAGATGTTGTTAGATTTCAGACAGCTTTGGAGAGGGGGTGAACATTTGGAAAATTACCAAAGACAAATCAAGAGCAAAGAGAAGCTGTTAATACTTGTGTGGAGTAGCTGCCTCAACGTAAACAGGGTGCACAAAAACTAGTAGACGAGCGTCACAACAGGGGTATCAAAGGATTAATTCAGATACACAAAGATTCACAGGCACGACAATCGTAGGGGGAAATTATTAATATAATACCAGAAAAGATGAAAAAGTACAGTATAAAAGTGTGTTAATCGATGTGGTGGTGACATTCTTCAGATAAAAACATCAGATGAAAAAAAAAAAAAGCCAAAAAAGGCATTGATGCTTTTGTACAAAATAATTCACAGAGTAAAATCAAACATTTTTTTTCCGATCAGTTTTACTATACCATGACAGTCCGAAAAATAGGCAAACATCAGAATGACCAGCGTCAGCGTACGATGCCCACATGACTTATTCTTATTAAATATTCTGCTTGGGGAAGACAATGTATAAATTATCATCTTTCAAATAATGTTTAAACATCACGTTTTGGGGTTTGCATTTCTCCTACAGTCAACGATGTCAGCAATTTTTCATAGGCAAAAAAGAAAAAAAAAAAGAATAAAATAAAGAACAAAATTTAGAAACCTGCGCTGAGAATGAAAAAGGTTTTTGAGGTTCGTATAATGGTACTCTATAGCAGTATGTGTAAGAATTTTTTTGAGTCCGTTTTTCATTTCTGCATTAACTGCAATTTGGTATTTCATTTTAGAGAACGGACCTTATCTTTCAGCTCTACATCCTTCCAAAAACAGGTTCAAACTGTGTAACTTCTCATTTATGTTGGTTTTGAAACAATACCATTATAGTAAATTCTTTTACAAATCTGTAGCACCAACAGAAGACATTTCTAATTTTGCTTTCTTTTTTAAAAGGCACCAACACTGACACTCATGACTCTCTCACTCTGCAAATGTGCAAATTAATAATAATTTAAAAAAAAAAGACAGAATGAAACAAGGACAATCCCTCTGGTAAAACACAGCTCCAAACAACTCGAACGAGCAAAACATAAATGTTCAACCTAAGAAAAGGCATTTATTTCCGAACAACCTCTCCCATCCATGCCTTAACCACACCCAGACCTAAAAACAACCCTAAGACAAAAGCACAGGAGAAAAAAGCAGTTAATGGGAATTCTCAGTTCCGAGGATACCGTCTCCCCACAAGTAACCGCTACAATGGAACAAACAAAGAAAGGCTAGAACATGTCAGCTCACAGCTAATAAAAGATGGAAGGCACACAAACTCCCTAGCACCTGTGCCACGCCCAGATGGCAGACTCTGCCCCGAGCCCCCTCTGCCAGGGTTTTCACCAGACCCAAATCAAAGTCCTCCGACACAACAACACTTAAATAATAAAGAAGAGGCTACTCCACAGGGAAATTATAATCTGTTTGCAGCTCTGCAATTGGATTCTCAATTTAAAAAAAAATCAAAACAAACAAACACAGTAACAGAAACATAATAAAAATCATCCACCATGTTCTCCGAGTAAAAGAAGCCTGAGGTGTAATGAATGAAGAAGGAGATAATGATATGCAAATATATGCAGTCCAGAAACCATTGTCCCGCACCATCTACCATAATCCATCTGCAGTATGATGGGATGAAAATATAAAACCTTGCAACCCCTATGCAACCGCCACATAAGAACCGCAGGCCTAGTTGAATTGTTACGATTCAGTCTCCTACTTACCTGCACAGATTAAAAAAAAATTCTTCCAAATATGACCTTTTTCATATTTTGATTTTGATGATAGCTGAAAACATCAAAAACCTCTTATGATAACCCATTCCCAAAAATTAAGCCAGACATGTTTTTAAGCTGTGGCTTCAAGATTTACTCTTGTATTATGGCTTCAAGGGAGCCTCCTCATATACCCACAAACTGAAAAAAGCTATTAATCTTACACTTAGGACACAAAACACAGTCAAATCGATCAAGGAACTTCTCTGTCCTTGTTTGTTTTGTTTGAGGAAAGCAAAGTACATTGACACAATAACGGTCATTTTGTGAGGGAAAAAATTAAGAAAGACAGACAGACAGAAATAACAGAGAGACAGAAAAGAAGTCTGACCTATCAGTGGCGTCCTCCAACCACCCACCTACTCTTTCCTATACCACTTAACAGATTAGACTATTGATAAAACTAGTTCACCCCTTTAAACTTATAACAAAGAGTTTCTGTTATTATGCTCTCTCAAATGGGTACTTCAATGAAATAAACACCAATTAAACTATTTTTCTGAAGTGGCTCCAAGGGTTAAAATTTCACTCCCACAATCTCCACTATCCCCAACACAATCCTCAACACCACTTTCTACACACCCCCCATCCCCCTTTCTTCCACAATTGTCCCACCATGGTATTCACGAGGCCAAACACCCACATTAATTAATTTGATAGCACACAGGAATCATAGCTGTGATGGGCAATTCCCTGAGTATATAAACACAATAATGAGAATGGATTACCACATGAGATAGGAATAGTTGAAAAAAACAAAACAGAAAAAGGAAAAAAAACATTTTTGCTAAACTGATCTCCAGTGATTGAGGTTACAATCTTATACAATTTTCACCATTTTTACATTAATTATTCAGTTTGAATCCAAAGTTTCAAACATCTTTTTGCACACATGACCAACCTTCCATGCTCCTTTTCAAACAGTCTTCATTCTTATTAATCCTCATGAACTAAACCCCAGTGCTCCTGCAGAATTTGGCACTCTTTGAACATATTTGATATGTTTTGTACTTCAAATATTTGAGAACATTGTTCACAAGACAGGGGCCTCACTTCTAGTACATTCTTTTTTCAGAGACTTTCAGAATGTAGGCGTTGCACAATGATAGATTATGCTAATATCACAAAAAACAGGAAGGAATACATCAGCAAAATTGGAATGACAGCATAAAAAGTATGATATGCCAATACAATCTCTGAAATAAGCCACATTTTAAATGCGCCTACTAGAAAGGAACACTATCTGACTGAAAAAGGTTACGCGAAAGAGACATTCTGTTCACAAGCATAATAAAAGAAATGATTTGAGAGGGTTGAAGTCATGAAAAAAACTTACCACTTGCTGTGTAGTGGAAGTGAATGGCAGGCCCCGCATGCGAATTATCGTCTGCCCACCCCGCGAAAGGAATGCCTGAGCCTCGGAGTTGTTTCCTGTATGACAAATGGGATTACTTTATTTTTTGGGGGTCCCGTTTTCTTTTTTTTTGGTGCCACGTGTTAGTTACGTCAACGACTTATATGTGTCAGGGTTTGAGATGATGATGATGATGATGATGATGATGATGATGATGAACATCCAGGCCTATACGAACATCTGATTAAACGACACCAACCCTATTCAAGTCTCAAGTTTACTTTTTTTTTTTTCCTACTTTAAAACATGATGATGATGATGATGATGATGATGATGATGATGATGATGATGATGATGATGATGATGATGATGATATATAAGACTGGATACGGTAACACTGTTGAGGATCTTATGACAAATTGTATTGATTTTGGTAGACTTGTCAGGAAGGAAATCTGTCACATTCTTTCTGTGAATAGATGAACATGTCTGACATTGAACTTTTCAAGACAAAATACTTGATTAGTCAAAGTAAATGACTGACTTCAAAATAAAAAATAGTTTGATATTGCAGAGGGATATGGACTGCTTAAAGAAACAATCATTGCAGTACAAAAGACTTGAAAAGAAAACCAACAACTGTCCTGCCACATTTTACATTGTAATCACAACGTAGACTCCATGTGCTGGATCAGGGGGAAGAAGAACAGACGTAAGGAAAGTTTTCAACTGCTAAATCAGAAAGTGATGAGCTGTGGTAGTCTAATGGTTAGGCAACCAGACTCATAATTGTGAGGTCGAGGGTTTGGAGGTTAAAGGCTTATCTCAGCCTGATGTTGTGTCCCGGGTAAAGACACTTTAATTCAATATTCCTCATTTCACCCATGTCTGAATGACTACCCGGCCATAGACAAAGAAAGAGCTCGTCAGTATGTTGGTGCTTTAGTGCCTGTAAAACGGCAGACTGCACTGTATGCTGTATAGAAAGTTGAGATTATTTCAGAAAGCTATCAGGTTTGCTTGGGTAATAATATAGATAATAAAACTCATAGAGCTTGATATTGAGCAGAATTTTGTAATAAAAAAGCTATTTATTAACATTATCATTATTCTGCGAATGATTTGAAAAAGAAACTTAAAGTTCTTTCACACCTCCTGCGACATTGATGAAGTCTTTGCCAGTGGCTTTGTAGACTTCGATGTATCGCTGACCGATGTGGTGTTTGTGTCTCTTCAGGGCAAGATCTCTGTGCTCTTCCGACTCAAAGCGGATCAAAGCCTCACCATTTCTCCGACCTTGGGGACTCAAGCAAAGGGCAACTCCTCCCCTAGAAGAGGGAAAATATAACGATATCATTAATATAGCAGAAAAATACTGTGCATCCTTTTCTGGACGTTGCCCTGCGTCAAAAACATAAAGATGGTCAGTAAAATCGCTACTTTATCTCTTACTAGACAATTTACCTAAGACCTCCCTTTTATCTTAGATTGCATACGCTAACATTTTAATCAAGGAATATAACTCTACTCTAACTGAGTAACTTATGTTTTACAAGAGTTATACCCCTTGCAACATAAGTCTTGACAGGCACATATACGTTAACAAAGAATTATGTTATTTTAGAAATTTGAGGTAGGACAAATGAACAGTCTAAGATTGATATAATAAGTATTCAGAGCTTATA